GCTGTCGCGTAACTCCTTCATTTTCGGTGGGTTTCAGTTTGTTCCACCTTCAAGTACTGGCTGGATGCGCGGTGAGTGATCTTTTGCCCCACTTCAAAAAGAGGACCATAATGATCAGCGTATTGGTGTGTTTTTCCACCCACTTCTATAGATAATGACTTCGCCTATTCCAGACAGAAACTATGTGTCAATATTGAGGTCGAGATAAACATTGTTGGATAAACCGACAATTTTCAAGGTGGGTGCTCGAAGCTTCCTTTTCATTATCCTACATACTATAGATAAATATGCTTTTTCAAAACACTTTATTTAAAAATAATGTAACTTTGAATTAACTTCACGCTTCTGACGTGGGGAACATGACTTCAGAAAATGACCCATCACGCGGATAAAGACATTGACGCCAATATAACACTGTACATCTACATAAGCACCAGAGGAAAATAAAAATAGAAGTTGTATTGTGTTCGAAGAGTAATAAAACGCTAATGTTGTTCTCGCAACATTATTATTTTTTAAAATTAGATTACAAAAAATATTTTCTCAGACGAGGAATGATCATATTTCTTGCAGCGAAATTTTATTCCTGACCTGTGCTAATGAAGCTATTAAGTATAGTTTTACAATGCAGCTATCATTATGAAAGATAACAGAAGCAGACGTATGGCGCAGAAAATATTTGCCATCACTGAATAAGACATACTCCCTAATGCATCATATGCCCATTGTGATGCGAAGCATGAGGACGAGGACTTTCCTGACTACACATTGGAACCGACAGAGATAAATTATTCATAAGCAAGTGAAAGAAGATGAAATAGTCCCAAAGCACATCAATTCCCGTAAAAGGCTGGTGTCAAAGATACTTGGCGATGTAAGCCACCTTCTTCATAACGCATAATTTGAATGTTTGCCAACTTCGTCTACCGGCAAAAATACAAGTTGATATAGGTCCGCAAACAAGCCTAGCGCTAGTCGGTTATCTCATATCTAGCGCTAACAAAGCGATTCGTGATATGAAGTCAAACTTTTTTATTTACATTGTTTCGTAGTTCGTTTATTTCTTCTGCAATATTACCGAGAGCGAACGTGTTGTTGCAACGGAATATCTACTAGTTGTGGGTGTATGAGACAATTTCTTGATTTGAGCTCTAGCCACTGAGCGAGCGTAAGTACTTGCATAAGTGAGCTTTTTCACGGAAGTCTTCGTTAAACATTTCTGCTGCTTTGATGAACACGTCAATGCAATGAAATCGTCGCTCACTTCTACCACTCCTGTTCTTCTCGTGTTGCTACCTCAGATGCGCGTGCTGTTGAGGACAAGTAGCGTAAGATAGGGAGAATCTGTAGGTCAGTGGTCAATTTTCTATCATTTTTACTACGTGATCCCTAGACGAACTGAAAGTGGGCTGCTGTAAAAGAACAAGTACTTTGGGTTCGTGGGTAAACTAACCAGGTTGGAGACAATCTGAGATGTGTGTGCCTGAAAAGCTGTACAATGACAAGACCTAATCATCAGGACAGCATATCACTTCATAAAGAAATGCACAAGATTATTTGTGTGTGCCGCCACATTGTGGTCATCGCGTATTAGCTTATAATAACGCAACCTGTATGGTTTGATATGCGAACTCGGGAGGAGGCAAAATATGCTGCATCAGCTTCACATTTAGTTTATGTGACCACGCTTTAACCAGGACGCGGACATAAGGGCTGGAAAAAAAAGACAGACGCGTCCCAAAGTCGCATACTTATGCAGCGAACGACAATCACACAGTGGTTTGTGTCGAGACGTAGAAAACGATTGGACATGGAAACGAAACTCGATGAGATTTAACTTGCTGATAGCAGTATGCTTCAGAAAGATTTGAAGCGGTATGAACAATAAAAGATGATTATCATCGACAAAAGTCTATCAATGCCATGTGCTTGTGCCTTACTGACATCCTACTTGAAACCAAAAAAAGCAAATCAGTTGAGAAGAAATAAGGTTAAGAGAACGGCTAAGGTATACCTAACTCCATGAAACAAGCAATCGCGGTTGAGGCACAATATCTTACGAATATATCGTGGTTCACAAACCTGGCTAAGGTGTAAGCAAAAAGATGCAAGGACCAGGCAGATCCCCTGGAGGCTTCGTCTTCTCATTTTAAACAGTCAATTTTACACGACAGACATCTCATCTCTGTGCAGATGTAAAACATGCAGTCGGATCGGATAAAATCGAAGTGGCTGCGTCTAGCGAAGACAAATACTACAGCCAGATGTAAACAAAATAGACATTTTACCACACAAGGGGATGTGAGAGAAGCACGCGATCTTCAAGGGTGGTCTTCCACAGAGCAATCAGAACCCAATGAAATCGATGCGCAGTAATGGTAGATGGGATCAATCAATTAATCAACAACAGCAGTACATCAGCCATTTGAACTGATGCTTCGCTGCCATACAACCATGAGGACCTATGGAATAAAAGATAATAAGAGAGAGAAGGGGGAATTACCTGAAAACCTTAATGCCCTAAGCAAACATTCAAGGTCAAGGCGCCTACACCTTGTGTAGACAACATACCGTCACAAACAGCTGGCTACAGTACAAAGATAAGACGGCATCGGCGAGACAGCTTCCTTGCGGCTTTCACTGTCACGCGTCATAATCAGTCATTACCCTGCAGATAACTCAGCACCAAACACACTTTAAACAGACAATCCGATTAGGAGACGACAGCAGACGCGCCACTGGTGTCTACTACGAGCCATGTCCTGTAAAGCCTCAAGTCAAGCACAAGGCGAGTCACGTGGATGCCAGCCCGGAAGGCGAGACGGAGCAACGGCACCCAGTTTGGCAGTCAGTGACTTCATTTCCTGCTGCCAAGTCAACTTCTGTCCACATCGAGAATTGCGCCACCACCCTACATCTGGCAGACTAAACAAGGCCCTCCTCAGTAAGCGGTGACCAGGCATACGTAGCACGTGCCCAAGCCAAAGCAACTTATTCAGTGCTATCTGTTGTTCTAGTGAGCTAGCATGATTAGCACGACCTAGTACTCGCCTACGCACATCATCGTTGCGGACACGCCGGTGCATCCGATACCAGCAATGCTTCGCACACAACGATGAGCAAAGACTTGAAGACGCCTCAGATCTTCAGACCGAAGGGGCCAAGTTTCAGTACCATAGAACAGAACGGCCCTCACTGTGGTCTTGTTTACACGGCCTTTCAGACGGAGGGAAACTCCCTTCTGTCGCCAAGGATGCCGCAGGTTCAAGAAGGCAGTTCTGGCCTTTGCAATGTGTGAGCTGACGTCAGTTCATATGCGCCTATGTTTGCTGATGCAGCTGCCCAGATAGGATAAGTAGATGGGGGCACATAACGATGATTTATGAAAACAAGTAAAAAATCGTTTGTCAGTTAGTAGGGAGCGATTTCACGAGAGCACAAGAACGTCACGAACGTTCACAAGGTCGATAGGTAACGAGTAAGAACTGCAGCCAATCTCATTCCTGTTAAGAACCCCAATCGGACAGTCAGGACGTGATCCGAACGCAGGGCCTAGGACTCGATGAATGAACGAGTTGGAAAAGAAGCTAGCTTGGTTTAAAGAGCGACGCTTGCAGTAGTGGTTATATACAAAGCTGGCGTGAAGCAAACTTCTGAGTAGATTGTTGTGCGGTTCAGGCGACCATGGTGAACGACCAATATCTTCGACGAGGCGTTCGCAAGAGAAGGTGACCAAATACTGGCGTAACAGTGTAGCATGTAAGGTTAGTAGGTCATATAGATACACACTTAGCGACAGCAATAAAAGTGTGAATGAGAGACAATTGAGCAACGGTTTTGAAGCTCCTGTTGTTTACTGAGCTCGGGAAAAGTGATTTCAAGCTGGATGATCAACTTGGGTATTCTCGACCACCGGGAGTGTATCCGGAGTAAGAATTTGTGCACCGATTGTTAGCGCTGAAGCTTGATGAGTGAAAACTTCGGATGACTAAACAATAACGTATCAAAACAGAGAAAATAAGCAAACCGGGTAAATTTATCACGCTAGCGACCGCAGCTTTGATGACAGAAAACCACGGGATTGGCTACGCCAGTGATTGTACACCAGTTCGACATAGTTCCGCTGAGTGGCTTTATAATATGCAACATCGCACTTCTAACTACTAGTCAGTTTCTTCAGTGACTTGGCGTTGTTAAAATGATAGTCGTCAAAGTGAGACAACCAACTGGCCAGTAATACATTTGAAAAATGGATGAGTAGCCACTTCCCGTCGTTAAACCAATCCGAAGTGTGCACTCCTCAGGTCTGGCTGGTGATCCGAGATACCAGATTGAAAGCCTTGAAAGCCTAAACGGGGAGCGGCACAACCGGGTAACTTGTGAAATAGCGCAGCCTACATTCTGACAATGCGGTACTGAGGTTATAGGAGGCACCCCGGAAAACGATGAACCGGATAGTAGAGGATGGGATAAAAAAGAAATGGGATCAAGTTATTTAAATTTGCTGCGGTCCACTGAATGCAATAACGATAATCAAGAATATGATCTTAGTTTTGATCTGCCACAGACCAGTTGAGTGTTGCTTATAAGTCAAAAGAGGACAAAACGGTCACCTGGTGCTTGAATTGATGCTTAGTGATTAACTCAATAGACCAAAGTATGGATTGCGGAGAAAGTAGAGGGAGAAATTAATCGACAATTACTAGGAAAAACAAGGGATTTGGAAAAGATTCGAAAGAATGGTGAAAACGGAAAATAGTAGGCATGGTTTTGAGACGGTGACCTCAAGTTGATAGAAATAATGCTAATAGGAGTAGCATCTCACCACTGGCCTGTAACAGAACGCCGCAGAAATAAGCAAAAACCATGGTGGCTAGCATCACAAGCATGCTGGTGGTAAAGGACGCTTGCAAGTAGATGAAGGTTCTCGATAAACGCTCCACCAAATGCAAGTGCCCTCTCAAGGAAGAAATGTAAATGATTCAAAAAGACCAACATACCATGTTTCATGTACTCTGTAATAATCATAATAGGTCGTTTCTTCAAGACAACGCCGAACAATTGTACAAGGTTGGGGTGGTTGAGAAAGCTGAATGGTAATGGAAAGAACTCGTTGATAGGAATAGATAAACAACAACGAAGTGCACAGAATATATCTATATCGTGACCAAATGGTACGAGAAATTGGGGAGATTAGTACAGAAACTCTTCACAGCCGCAGAGAAATAAAGGGAAAGGGAAACAATGAGATTCGGCAGACGACATTGATGTATCAGACACCTGGTACTTCTTAATTCGAAAGTAACGAGAAATCGCAATAACAGAGAATCATTAAGTTGGCATGTGGGCTATGAAAGACGGCTCAGTGAAGCCGATGCGTAGGGCAAGGCAGAAAGTGAAAAACATGGGGTCAAAAAACAACAGCCAGATGCGCAGGTTGTGATGAGAGGTGAGCCTAGAAGCCAACATTCAAACAAGATGACTCTAATTGAAGGAATAGGCACAATGAAGTTTGGACTGATTTTCCCAACTAAGTAATTTACTTGCAAACGTCTCACCGTCAACCGAGCTAGCGCTTTCAGTGCGTAGTAGAAAGTAGCATGTTAGTAAGTAATGAGGCTCGAGTAAATCCAGAGATGGATGCCAGTACATGTCCATGAAACACTTTTCAAGCGTTAGTAGCAACGCTTCATCCGGATTGGTAGCCCCTATGAGCATTCGAGGATAAAAAAGTGATCTTTATTGGCCGGTATGTAGCTTTCTGCGAAGTAGGAGAGCTTATCGCAATGTCATTGGTGCAATGATCACGTTGCCTACCGAAACGGAGAACAAAAGTCTGTTCTGCATGTTGTTCAGTCGCCGGTCTGGGTTAGTTCACATTGGTGATATTCCCCATATACGACGAGGGAACTCGAGCGGTAACGAAGCGCTGTAAGGCTTTAGTAAAGATATATAATAGACAGAGGACTGAACTGGGTGTCAAGAACCGTAAAGTAACATGACATCATATCGGTTCCAGAGCTAAAGACCGAAGCAAAGCGACTACCGAGGTTAAACGGAAAGCGGGAAATACGCAATGATGCTGACCAGGTGCGGTCAACTGGAAAAACAGCGAGTAAAATTAGATAATAAAATACCCTGCGACATTCCTCTATCGTTGCTGAAAGGAGGAGGTGAGGCTTTGTTGACTGCACTTGCTGCTATATTCAACGTGATCTGGGGCACTGAAGAGATGTCATCAGATTGGTGCCAATCAATTGCGGTGCCCATTTTTAAGAAGAGTCAGCGTATACTGTGATAATCATCGAGGCACTTGCTATATTTTCTTTGCTTCCAAACTTCTCACGGGTACCATTCATCGATTACTTACTGGTCCTCGTTAGAACCGAATCAGTCGTGATTGCGTAGACCACATATTTACTTTTGGTCAAATGTTAGAACAGAGATGTAATTGTTTTCCTTGACTTGAAAGCCGCCTTCGATTCTGCTGATCGAGACAACTTGTGGCACTGCGTATCCGTGAAGGACCTGCATGAAAAATCCTTTCTGTTTTGAAATCTCTCTACCTTGAGTTAGTAGATAGATATCTGTGTTGCTCCATCGTAGTTAGTTCGGGTACGTGTGCGGAATCACGTCGTCGATTCCTGAGTGTCTGGTGCATATTACAGCTGCGCCATAAGCTATTCAGGCGCGATGCGCTCTATAAATCTAAGATTGGACGTTTAATGATTCCTTAAATTTCTATACCGGCTTCGCCTCGACCATTTGCTCGGACAAACCGTACCAGTATTTCACCACAGACAAATCGATCGGCAATTGTGCAGAAAAACTGGGTCACCGCCTTTCGGGATTCGCTTCACTAGCTAGCATTGGGTGTTTTGGTAGTTGGCTGGCAACTGCAAAATGAGAAGTACCAATGTAGGACAGCGTTTATTTGTCATCTGCCCTCCGTACACTCACTGGAAATGGCGCATCGGTTCCATTGGCTGTTTAGCCGCATTATTTTTGGCAGCTGAACAGATTGTTGAGCGGTTTGGTAGCTTTCGTATGCCTTGCAGTACCTCTGTTATAATTGAGGTTGGCTTACTGAGGTGCATTTTTGTGGTGGTCATTGACCATGGCACTTATGGTATCTGAGAACAGCCCCCAAAATGCAAAGCTGATGCCGGTTAGTTGGTGTTTGGCAATAATTAGTTGTATTGCGGAGCTGTCACGTCGATTCTGATCAGATCAGAATTTTGGGATGCTTGTCGACCACCAGCGCCGGTGTGTTTAAAGTACAAAACTTGGACGGTAGATGAAAAAAACACCCAGCATGACTGGCAAAGAGACCTGATCGTGCTGGTGTGGATATCATCCTCGTGGATGAGATTTATGAGCTTAGCCACAGAATAATCAAGATCGACAAGATATAATCGTAAAGCAAAAGCAAGCTAGAATTCAGTGTATCCCATCAAAAGGACAACCACTCCATCAAATGAGTACACCCACACACTGCTTCCTCTTGATATCCTCCCCTTGTTCCTTTGTCTTTCTCCCATTCTGCTCATCACTACAATGTATTGGTGTCGAAAGTTCTCAATTTGATTCACCGCAATCAGTTCACAGGGTCGTGATGGACAAAGGGAACTGATCGCATCAGCGACTGAGACACATCGCAAACACCGGTGTACACTGCAGATGTCTTTCAAAATGTAGGTTCCCATAGTGAGTGGGTTATGTACTGCAAGCGTTTTTGGGAGAAAACGAACCTAAGCACAATGATGACATTATAGTGGTTGAAATTGGAAAAACAGGAGGCGGTAAGTATGAGTTGGACTGATCAGTGAGAGCCCCATCATAAGAATTAAGAACGCACAAAAAATGAAAATGTAGTAAGCAGAACCAACAGCGTGGAACTGTACAGCAGTGAAAATAAATACTATTCTCTCAGTGCCCGAGAAAAGGAAGCAAAATAAGTTGGAAAATAACAGCTCGGGTAACACTCCTCGGCCAATAAGTTTGTGAAACTAGCTCGAGCAACAGGAGCTCCGGTAAGATAAACTTAAGGAAAAATTGAAAAGCACGTGTAGACAGAACAGGGAAATAGCACGGTCATACCGCATATTTTTGGCTTCTTCGATGAAATCGTCCTCATTCATGGCACCTTCAACCATTTGCTTGACAGCCACGGGGATATTTCGGAATTTGCCCCGCTTTACAACCTGTGATTGGATAAACAACAACAACAGTAGTCAAACGGCTGCCGAAATAGATGAATAAGGTCTATGAACCGCGAACAAAATCAATAGAAGGACCAGTAGTGAATATATGACAGGTATTAGCGTCGGTCATACGAACAGAAATTGCGGACACAACCACGATGGTTCGCTGTTCTTCTATCTGGAATATGAGTGAAAATATGCGTATTTACCAAGGTAGGGGGTTCGAATAATACATAGAGAGCACTGGATGAGTGAAAATTCATTGAAATGAAAACGTTAATTATCATCACTAGCGCAAAAAATCAAAAGGTTACCAATTGAACATGACCGCCCCAAGGCACAGATGGAAACCATTAAGCACAGATACAAGGAAGTCGATAAAAAAAGGATCTACTTTAAGAAATTCAACTGGCAAAGTGAAATGAATGGGCGCCGGCAGATGATATATTGACTGAAAATCGTCTTAACCTGGAGAGTCTAGAAACTAGTGGCACCTACGGAAAATGAGCCACATAGACAGGCATCAAAAATACACGACACGAGTCTGGAAGATAGGAGAGATAATTCACACGGAACAAGCGAAGCTAATGGGACAAGTCGCCAGGTGTGCATATGTGGAAAAGCAATCAGGGAGCAGGGAGACCAATGCAAAGTGCACAGTATAATGAGTCACCGGACTACATAATCGTCATAAGACGAAACAAAGTAGTTTTTGAATGGGTAGATTGCCTAGCTACCGTATGCATGCATGTGTGTTTCAGATCAGTCGGAGGAGAAGCGAACGATGGAAGGACAGAGATGCATGGGAAAAGGTAATTTGGTGAATTGCAGCACTCTGTGGGGATCGCATAAATTGACGGTAAAGCATGGATAAGGGAAGAATTCGACATAAACGGCGTCAAGAAAAATACTTGCAAAGCACATTAAGCCGGAATTGTTCAGAGGGAGTTTGCATAGAGCTACATACAGCAGACGACCGGGAAATTGGTTGAATCGGGAAAGTTCTAGCCAGTGAAACGACAAAGAGCTGAGATAATCGGGGACAAAATGTGGCTCCCGCGCAAAAACATGTGACGTTCAGTATACGAGTCGAGGACATTAGGCAATCTCGGGAACTGACAATGGGCGAAATAAGGGAGAGGAAACAATCTGATCTCTTCGTTCGCAACTGTATACTACAAAGCTCGCTACATCGAAAAAGCTAAAACTAAGCAAAGCAAATCCTCCATAACAAATTGCAGCTAAGCATCGCACAAATAAGATGTTGGATATGGCGTAGTAAATTTCGCCAGCTTCAAGAAGAGGTTCACTTATTTCAATAAGTGGGGTACAATAGCAGCATGGAATGCCCCAGTTTTTCAACTAAAAGAAGATATCACAAGCGAAAAATTATTTTCATTCAACATCTGGATCGCAAGTTTAAAGAGAATAATCCAAAAGCATCACAGTTAAATAGGAAATTTTCAAATCCAAATAAGTAAACACGCCCATCCAAATGTTAGGCCGGCAACACTTGCCGTTTAACCCCAAGATGCGTCAACCATTATTGTTGCATCAACTTGTTAAACTGTGATGGGAAGGAAACCGCTGAAATTTTGCTCAACAAGTGCGTCACTAGGTCATCGAACCAAACGAAACAGAAGTGCAATGTAGATTCCGTTCGGGTCGCAGTGTCATACATATGGTGTTTCCGGCTCATCAGCTGCAGTATAAGTGCAGAGAACGACACCAGCCATTGTACTCGCTGTTTGTTGATTTCACCAAATCGTTTGATACGGTGAACCGCAAGGCATTGTGGCTGGTGTTGGGTAAGTTTGGTTGACCGCGTAGGTTTGTAAGTTTATTTGAAAATCCGCGCAGTGGTATGCAAGCGAGGGTGCAGCTGAGTGGAGAGACCTCGGATGACTTTGCAGTTGTCTCTGGTGTGAAGCAAGGCTGTGTCTTAGCTCCTGCCCTGTTAAATATATATATTCATGCAATGTTGTCCTGTGCTTTTGATGCCGCTGGTGATTACGGTGTTCGGGTGGAGCACCGTATTGATGGTGGGTTGCTGAACATCCGTCGTTTCGGTGTGTGAACTCTAGTCTGTGAGACAATTATCCGTATGTTGCTGTTTGCTGACGACTGTGCGTTGTTTTCACACAGCGCGGATGAGTTGCAGCATATGACTAGTGCTCTGACTTCGACAGCGGGCAAATCCGGGCTCACCATCAACACAAGCAAAACTGCCTGCCTCTTTCAGCCTTCACTGGAGGTGCAATCTTCAATATTGCCGCGAATCAGCATTGGTGGTGAAGTATTGGAAACCGCTTCCCGCTTCTGCTACATTGGGAGTGTAATGTCGACTGATCAGCAGCTACACAGCGAGCTGCGTATTCGCGTGTCGAAAGTAGCGGCGGCATTCTGGAAGCTAGAATACAGAGTGTGGAACAATCATCAGCTTACCGTTGACATGAAGCTGATGGTGTACAAATCCATGGTGCTCTCCGTTCTTCTATACGGCAGTGAAACGTGGACGATGTACCGTCGGGATGTGCGATATCTCGAGCGGTTCCATCAGCAGTGGCTGCGACGGATTTTGCGCATCAGTTGGGGCGACAGAGTTGCTGACACGAAAGTGTTGCGCCGAAGTGGGATGTATGCAGTGGACTGTACACTATTACTCAGACACCTGAAGTGGCTCGGACATGTGAGCAGTATGGATTCGACGCGGATACCGAAACAAGTATTACATGGTCAGCTGAGTACTGGAAAGCGGAACGTGGGGAAAGAAAAGTTAGATTACCAGGACATGATCAAAGTGAGCCTCTGACGTTCTAATCTTGATTGCAGATCATGGGAATCGAAGGCAGTTGATCGGCGTGCATGGCGCGATCTCATCACGAAGGCAGTTGCTGAAGTGCGGGAGAAAGACCTCATGTATGCAGAGAAGAAGCGGCAAGCAGCGAAGGGTTGTACTCCATCGGCGTCGAGCGGATGGTGCTGTAGCACCTGCGGTCGCGAGTGCCTGAATCAGGCAGGCCTAGTGAGCCATGAGCGAGGCCACTCGGGACCACGACCGAAGCGACGGCGGGTCCTGCAGAGAAAGCAGGCAGAACCGGCGCAGCATTTGTAGGTACGCCGCATTCGATTTACTAACTGCGTGCTTGCATGCTAAGTCTCTTTATTTCAGGTGGTTGGTCTTCAATTTTGTCCTAATGCTTTCCTTTCTCATATAAATGTCTACCTGTACTCTCTTTCATTAACTTGCACACCTCGCTTAAGCCAATTGTAGTCGATTTCCATAACACTTTCGTGTTCGTGGGATTTCCGTAAAGTATACTTTCTGACCTCGTGAAGTTATCTCGAATTCTTTTGTAAACAACTTATTTCATATGCTCATAAATTTAAGATTTGTGTCACCGTTTCCTTGTGCATTACAAGAGTTATTTTCTTTGTCTCTCTCTCTCTCTCAAGTGATTGGCTGTTGCTTGATATCCCGGTGCGGCTGCGCTTGATGTGCATGTTGACAAGGTGCCTATCTGTCCATTACCCACCACCTTGTCCATACTGGCTCCAGGAGACAGTTGGTTGTTGCTGCAGGGGACGGGTGCACGGTTCTTGTGGCCGTGTTAAGATCAAAGAGTGGTTCCATGCACTCACTGTGGAGCGGACTTCGGTCCAGCCACCGCCTTGTGTGCGCTTAATTTCCCAACTACAGCGTGCTTGTGTTTGCCTGTGAAGGAGTTTGGGCCGGCTCAGTTGGTGAAACGTGGCTCCCATCCACATGTCTTCCGGTCTTATTCATTCGGGTTTACACTGGATATGGGGTGTGGTTGGAGCTGTGGGTGGGGCAGTGCAAGCCACCCATGGTCCCTCTGTAGACGCAGGCGTCCTGTAGCTGGCCACAGTGACAGGCAAATCCGAAACCGGATGCCGCCAACCATATATATATATATATATATATATATATATATATATATATATATATATATATGGCATGTGGGTGGGTGCCACGTCTCATTAACGGAGCCGGCCCACACTCTTTCACAGGCAAACACAAGCACACTGGATTTGGGGAATCAAGCGCACACAAGGCGGTGGCTGGACCGTAGTCCGCTCCACATTGAGTGCATGGAGAACCACTCTTCGAGCCTAACACAGCCACAAGGACCGAGAATTTGCGGATGAGCATGGAAAGACAGAAAACGTCGTGTATGAACCGAGGTTAGTCGGTCAAGATGAAAGTGAGCAGGAGTGTGAAATGCAGTGTAAACCTCGGAAAATGAAACTTACCCCAAATTGTCCCTTCCCGATAGGGTTCATTTCTAGTTGCAACTCAGCCGGATCCAACTCGAATTCGTCCAGACCCATACCCGCGGTGACCGGACTCTCGCGATCTTTTGTGGGCGGGGAGCGCAATCGGACAACTAAGCCCCCGGAATTATGTTTATGGTAGTGTATCACATCGCTGATAGTGGGGAAGGCATGTTTCTCAGACAAGTAATATTGAGCCTCTGTTCCACCCGAACCACCAGTGCCACGGTTACTGATGACATTCCCAGTATTATTTGGTGGGGTTCCGTTAAGTTGCCCTATCCCGTTGGCACTATGGCCATTGGACACAAGGCTACTATCCGTTCGATGAATGTGATAATGGTGCACCTTGAGTTTGCCCGGGCTGTAGAAAAAGAGAGCAGGAAACCGATGAAATGAGTTGGCTTTCCGCAGCCAATACAATGTACCGAAAAGTAATGTTTGCTAGTGGACAATTGGCGACAAGAAATATTGCTGCTTAGGGGTCTTTAAGTGCGGCGTGTGACACACGAAGAGCTAACCGAGTCGTGGTATATCAGTGTTGGGAGGAAATACACCGAAACCCGTACACACATGAGTAACATGTGTGCGTGTGGCGCAATCTGTATATAGTGCATGGAATGTACCAAGGTTAAAGTACCTAGTTGAAAAATACAAAGCGTATGTATCTTCATAGCTAACAACAATGAAAGGTCACGAAAGTAGGCATAAATTAGGAGAGAAAATAGAATGCCGGTTATCGGGGTTAGTCGAATTTATAGAAAAAGAACGGTCAAACTGTCAAAACAATTTCATGGTACAAAGTGTAGATATTTTTCGACGAAATTAATACTTAGGTAGACAGAAGCGTGTGGCGAATCAGAATCAATGATGGCGGAAAGGCAACTAATGGAGGTCATAAGAAAAACCATATGAAGAATGTAGTAATTCCGTAAATTTGGAAAGGCGGGTTATCTTATCAGTGAAAGTGACACATGGACCCGTTTAACGACGGGACAGTAATAGCACTGACATCCAAACGACTTAAGAAGAAACAATATAAAAACGATGTACTCAGGCGTAGACAACACATTAAGGGTTAAGAATTAGTCAGACCCCGGTGCGTATACATAAAGGTCATGGACTGGCAACATGGAAACAAGTAGGCCGCAAATGGAACAGTTATACATTTAATATGAGGCCATCATTTTCACGTTGCCAAAGTCGACCGTAAGCGCAATACAATGGGGCTGAAGGTGAGTGATTACTTAGCTCCGAAATTTCGACCCAGGCTAATCATCATCATTAACAGCAATACATCAGCCATTTGAACTGATGCTTCACTGCCATACAACCATGAGGACCTATGGGATAAAAAAATAATAAGAGAGAAGGGGGAATTACCTGAAAACCTTAATGCCCTAAGCAAACATCCTGGGTCAAGGCGCCTACACCTTGGGTAGACAACATTCCGTCACAAACAGGTGGCTATCGTGCAAAGATAAGGCGGCATCGGCGAGATAGCTTCCTTGCGGCTTTCACTGCCACGCGTCATAATCAGTCATTAACCTGCAGATAACTCAGCACCACACTTTAAACAGGCAATCCGATTAGGAGACGGCAGCAGAAGCGCCACTGGTGTCTACTGCGAGCCATGTCCTGTAAAGTCTCGAGCCAAGCACAAGGCGAAACGGACCAACGGCACCTAGTTTGGTCGTCAGTGACTTCATTTCCCGCTGCTAAGATAACTTCTGTCCACCTCGAGTCTTGCGCCACCCTACACCTGGCAGACTAAATAAGGCCCTCCTAGGTAAGCGGTGACAAGGCATGCGTAGCACGTGCGCAAGCCAACGCAACTTATTCAGTGCTATCCGTTGTTCTAGGGAGCTAACATGATTAGCACGACCTAGTACTCGCCTACGCACATCATCGTTGCGGACACGCCGGTGCCATCTGATTCCAGCAATGCTTCGCATACAACGATGATCAAAGACTTGAAAACGCCTCAGATCTTCAGACCGAAGGGGTCAAGTCTCACTACCATAGAACAGAACGGCCCTCACTGTGGCCTTGTATACACGGTTTTTCAGACGGTGAGAAACTCCCTTCTGTCGCCAAGGATGCCGCAGGTTCAAGAAGACAGTTCTGGCTTTTGCAATGCGTGAGCTGACGTCAGTTCCTATGCGCCCATCATTGTTGATGCAGCTGCCAAGATAAGTGAAATGATCAAGCACTTCGGGTACCTCGTTAGCAAGTGTCAAGGGGTCATCAAGTGGCTGGTGGTCCTGCAGCAACACTTTGCACTTTGAAGGTGCGAAGTGCATACCAAATAATGGGACCACACTGGACAGGCTATTCACGGTTGATTTTACCACCGCAACCTCGTCAAAAGGCAAGCCCATATCCTCCGCATAATCTAGATCAACTAACCTTCCACCAGACAGCATTTCAACGCCTACATCGTGAGATTCCGCAAGGAAACACTCCATGATGGAATCCATGACGAAATTGAACAAACACGGGGAAATCGGACAACCCTGACGAACGCCACTTGTGATCGAAAAGTTATCCGATAGGACACCGTAGACCTGACGCGGCCTGTAGTGTTCGAGTATAGAGCACAAAGGATGTTCCCATATTGTGTGGGAACACCTTTCCGTGGAAGTATTTCGAACAGATTAGATCGATCGACTGAACAGAACGCACTTTTGAAATCAAGGAACACAGCTGTTGTCGGTCTGCGGTATGCGTGGCGCTGCTCTAGCACCTACCGCAAAGTAAATGTATGGTCTATACAGCCAAGCTCTGTGCAGAAACCGGCCTGCTCTTCCCTAATCTAAGATTCCCGTTGCGCAGTGAGGCGACGAACGACAATCGAGACCAGTAATTTTGTCACAAACGGCGTTAGGCTAATACCCCTGTGGTTCGCACAGTCTGTGCGACTGCCCTTCTTGTATATTGTCACTATAATCGATTCGCTCCAATTAGCCAGGACACCCTTTCAGATACGTTCGAATAGGGAGGTCAGTACTTTGCAGAGGACCTCACCTCCATCCTTAAATAGTGCAGGTGGAAGGGAATCCGGGCCAACGGCACGAAAACGATTGAGGGCTGTGATCATGTATCAGACTTTTGCGTCCGACAGGGTCTCTGAACTAACCGTCCATGGCTCGTCCTGCATCACCTGAGTAGGAAGAGGTCCAGGAGCAGGGAGCCAGCTGAACTGATCTTGAAAGTGTTCCGCCCAACGAGCCATACGGCGCTCCTTATTGTGTATCAGCGCACCCGCGCTGTCTCTGATTGTCTCACTGATGCGTGGTTTCCTGGGACCAGTGGTGCGGCTTATCTGCAAGAGCTTGCGGTAATTGCCTACTGCTCCTGCCTCCTCCATTTCTTGAGCCCGACTGGTCCACCAAGCTCCCTTGTCAGCAGGTAGAGACTCTGCTTTAGTTCACGCCTAATAGCCCGTCTGGTCACATTGTGTTCAGAGCCAGCCGGAGGGTGTCTTCTAGATTCCAACAGGTTCACCGACCTCTCCGATATCCAGCGACTGGTGCGGTGACGATGGATAGTGCCACAAGCAGATGCTCCTGCGTCGTGCATGGCGACCGAGATCCTATTCCACTGAAGCTCAGTGTCATTAGGACTAGACATCGGAAGTTCGGTATGCAGTGCTTCTTGATAGGCTTGTCTGACCGAGGACGGAGACAATTTCTCCGTTTCCAATCGTAGGGAGCACTTGGTGCGCCTCCCGGTAAAGTTCATAGAGAAACGGCAGCGTACTAAGGCATGATCAGAGTCGACACAGGTACTCCAGTACGAGCGGCAATCCAGGATGGAACCACGCCATCTGTAACTTATGGATATATAGTCAATTTGGGCCCATCGCTGGCCAGCTATAGGAGGACGCCAAGTTGCAGTTCGGCGTTCACTGTGTTTAAAAGCAGTGCTACTAAGAGACAACTGGTACTCCGCACACAGTTGCAGTAGACGCTCGTCGTTGTCAGTCCGTTCGGAGTTAAGCCCACAATAACCACCCAGCTGAGCGTCTGAAGAGCTCAGACGCCCTAGTTGTGCGTTCATATCCCCTGCAAGTACGAGAATATCTGAACTAGCAGCACTGCGTAGTAGCGCGTTCAGTTCGTCATAGAATGTGTCCTTGACAGCATGAGAACTGCAGTCGGTGGGAGCATGAACAGAAATCACAAACAAACAGCGTTTTGTTTTACTTCGTGAATCAGCCTTAGCTGATGTCGTCAAACGGGCAGCACATAAACGGCTGTTCACCGGAATCCAATCAACCAACGATGGCTCAGCCTTGGAGCTTAGAATGATACCTACATCAAGTTGACCCGTGAGTGCTGCATCGGCGTCTCCGGATGCGTGCAACCAATAACGAGAGGATAAGCCGGGCGCAATTAATTCAATAACCCAGTTAGGGTCATTAATCCTAGTTTCGGACACACAACACACCAATACGCAGCGTGTCCAAGGTGCGTATGAGTGCAGCCTGTTGACCTGTTTGTCTTAGAGTGTAAACGTTGAATGTCGCCATGGAAACGTGGCCTTATAAGGGACTTTTGCCGATAGGCGTCCGATAGGTGCTGTGGGATGGTGGCTGCAGATGGTTCTACTCCAGTGGCACTACGGCTGCTGTCAATTAAGCTGGGAATTATAGAAGGAAGGTTAGTAATGGAGGTCGGGATGGGAGTAAGAGAAACAGGTAAAAAAAGAAAGAAGGGAGGCGCCAACAGTAGCATGTTTTCGCTTATTCGCCCTGCTGTATGCAGCAGATAAGGCGACCCTTGATAATTTGCGCGACGGCCGATGCAGGACAAAGTTTATGTCTGAAGGAAATGTCATGGTTGTATGTGGGCTGAGATACTGCCAAGGCGCCCAGACCTAGACAAAAGAACGATTAGGGTGGTCATCCAAAACCTTTGGCTCAAAAGCTTGTCCACAACGCAGCGGGGAGGTGGCAATGATATAGTTTTACAGAAATGGACGCCATCCCATTTCAAACCCCCAACCTGGAGGACCAGGAGACTGAGTTTGTCTGACCTCTCACCACCGACCAACCTGGTAGGAGCAGCTCTCAAGGTGCCTGGAAGCATCATCCAGTATAGTTCAATGGGTCAATGAGGTACGCAAACCGTCGCACCACGTTAAGGTCCAGTCTCGTTGCGACGGCAGACTAAATACAGTCAAGCTAACCGCTGGTCGTTGTAGGAAACAACACATCTCGTTGAATGCGTGTGTTGAAAGTGCTAAGTTCATTCGCGGAAACCACTCGAATGGCGCCCCTAGTGATTGGCTGATCGCGAATACTTCACTGTGGGAGCACACATGGGAAGACAGCGTCGCACTATAGCAAGACTGGGAAACCCCACATAATGCTTAGTGAGACCGTGAACGTACCGTCCGTGATAATCAGAATAGATAGTAAGAATCAGAGTAAGAAACCATGGGTTAACAAAAAATGGTGATGGAAGGATGATCTAGACCGTAAAACTTACACTTCAGGATCTTTCGAAGTGACCGAAAGAGTGTAGGTGTTCTTCTTACTCACAGAGTCCCGGACCAAAAAACATCCTTCGCGACCCTCATCCAAAAGGATTGCCTCCGCTTGTTGGCGTGTGATGTCTTTGTAGTACCAACTAGTACGCATAGTGGGAAGGAGACGATACGAAATCATTTGGAATAATGTGGTTTCGGTAGACAAACATAAAAATTTTCAAGTAACAGAAAATTCGGAAGCAAGCGGAGTATGGAAAACGATATGTAGCAGCGCCGCCGCCGTAAATGTCAATGCTGAGGGGAAGGATGTGAGAGTATAGTTGAAAACATAAGGATGTGGCCGAGTAAGGACAGCAACCAAACTATCTCATGCATAGCACGTGCTACGAGGATCCGCAAAAATTGCCATACCGATATATTGTCTGCGAACTTCGATGCTCGGAACACAGTTGACGACCAAGTTTAACTGGATTCCAATTGTACAGCTTCAGTCAAAATAATATAATGTGTCAGCTGTACGCCGAAACGGCGCTTCGGTGCCGCGCGACCACTACCAGTCGCGTGTGGTCTGGATATAGTGCGAGGACGCCCGCCACTATGCGGATTCGAACCGGTGACCTTATGATCGTAAGCTAAGCGTGCAGACCACTCGGACGTCGTACAGCTTAAGCTGCACCGCGCTGCGCATGATCTCGGTGATAAGAAACCTCTGAGACACAGTAGTGCATAATTCACTATGCTGGTTACGGAGAAACGAGTTTAATTAGGTTTCTCTTGAATCCCCGTAGAATTAGAAGGATGAAAAAAGCGAGCGTGGTTTAATAAATAATTTCATGCCGTAAAGGCAGTACGCCGGTACGCAGTACCGACGTTTTCCTGCTGCGCAACCACCACCAGTCGCACGTGAGCCTAGCACACTGCGGGGGTCGCAAGGTCCATATGCGGGCTCGAACCCGCGCCCCCGGATTACAAGACAGAACGTGATCCTTAAGACTACGGATTTCGCGCTGTAAAGAGCCAGGTTTGAGCTGTGACAGCAAGAAAATGATATTTCTCACCACATTCGGAACTAACTATGTTATCCAATTTGCTAGTAATAAATGACGCAGAGACAAAATGGATTCAAACGTTAAAGGGTGAATTACACAGATGGGCGGTGGCGCAGCAATAGTTTGTTGTGCGATCTTGAGTTTTGATTCGCATTGCAATAAAAAGGGAAATGAAAAATGAGACAGGATCACAGATCAAGCATGTAACTGTATCAAAACCACAAGAAAAGAATTAAGATTACGGTCAGAGAATGGTAGCAGGAAGTATAAAGATTGCCTGGTCTCGTGCGAGACGGCACTATTATCAGGATAGATGCGTAAAAGGGTAAGCCAAAAACTAAGATAAATATGGATGTCAGCAACGCACCAAGGTTTTGCGGTGGTGTGTTGTTAACATTTCATTAACAAGTGGCGCGTTACACCACTGACTCCAAGCTATCATTCAGCCGTAATCATACAAAGTTGCCAAACAATCGACTTCACCACTGCACACCTTCATCCGTTGGGGTAATGGGTCTGCGGTTCTTGACTCCATTCATTGAAGACAGCTATCATTAACAAAACCCCATTTTATTGGCTAGATGACTGATGTCGCGTTAACGAGAACATACGCGCAAAGACGGTCAAGATAAACACACAACTTTACTCAGAGCAGAGACCTACTGTATGCCCATGGAAAGAGACAACCTGGGGATTTGTACTAGTAATGCCTTTAGCTTTTCCTTCTCCACTATCTCCTCACTCTTCAGAATTTTTACACAGTTCAACGATTGATGACTTGAAAATAAAAGCAATGGAAAATCAACAGCTCTAGGAGTAGCGTTCGTGAGCCTGTTATGCCTTACTGAGTGTGATTAACTACTAGGTGCCCATGGCAAGATGGACAGTGGTAGATTAAGAATCTACCTTTGCCGATTTTCCGATTCCGAGTGATGACGTGCCAATAGGTGTCAATAGGTCTCGTGTATTTAGTACTACGTTCGCCTCCTAATGCTGAAGGCAGTTTAAGTTTACATTGTGCTATATCTGCACTCTTTTCTTGGTATGCTCTCCGGCATGCAGATAAATGAGCGAGGTGATTATGATGAAACGTGCTGAGTGTTGGCTTCAATGAATCGCACGAACAAGATGTAGTTACTGGCTTCTCTTCTCTTACAATTTTAAAATGCTGGGGATATGATATGTACCGCAGTTCGGCCATCTTGAAGGAGTTACCTGAGTTTTTTGGATGACAGATCACTAGCCTATCCTCTTCTACTATCTATCCCTTAGTGAGCTAGACCTAATTAATCGCATGGATAACATTGTCGCTTAAGATGCCACACACAGCCAGTGTGGCTTTTACCGCCGTGTACGGTAGGTTACCAGAAGGCGCATTGTATATATTGGTTTCACAGAGGCAATTGCTTAAGCTCTAAATTCCGAATACTCCAACTATGCTGATATACAAATCACTGGGTTTTAGGTAAGGGTTAAGCTAAGATTTCGGGACAGTTGTCGGTCATTAATGTCTACCTTTCGGCACTGGAGCCCGCTCCATACATATTCACTCTCTTTCAGGAAGCGGGTGACCAATTGATTGCCCTGAGCTTCGTCTAATCTACTCTATGCAACATCATCGTCAAGATGCAGTGGTTCCACTATCAACGATCCTCCATTTCAGCGACGATGGACAATATGGATAAGAGACCGCAACCTCCGCTGTTGTATCAATTGTCGCGTCCCACATACTTCCATTCTCTGCTGACCTTCTTGTAACGCTCCACAGTGCACGAATTTCTTCGAAACGTCCGTCTCACTTCAATTCTTTGTTGCTGCTTTATTTACCGTGTACATGATATATCATTAACAGCACTTCACTATTTCCCATCTTAGCACATATGAAACTAGAGGAGACGTAAGTATTCCATGTTGTGTACTATCCCAAAGCAACGATCATTTATTTGCATAATTGGAAATGATATTTGCAGTTGCAATAATTGGAATGTGTCCATCGTTGAAACGGAATCCACCGACATATCGACAATGCTAGTTTCACTACAATGAGCGCCTTAGAGGAGACAGCTTAAGCTATACATAGAATGACATTATTATCCAATTTTATGCGCAGAATCGACTGCAATACTCTGTTATCATTTATTTCCCCAGTGCTTTTTTGCATTCATTGATACACAACTCTTCTAGTTGTTGCGGATTTCCATATGCAGCGGATTAACACTGAGTCTCCATATGACAATTTTCGCTAGTTCCGTGCTCATCTTCCCAGACAATACTTGACATCCTGTTGTTGCAGGTTTTCAATAGTATACCTTCAGTGCTTACTCACAAAGTAATCGTAACCGTAAGAACTCATTCAGTTCTACTCGCTATTGGACCCATTTTCGAAAGATATGGTGAAGTCACGCATTATCTTCACGGCTCATGAACGCTGAGTGTAATCGAACACGAAACCGGTAGTGTATCGCAGTGTTTCGAGTGGATAACAGCAAACATTTGCCTGCTGCAAATGCAGTCTCAATGACCGAATTGACCCAAGTTCTCTGCAAAGTGAATCGCAATAAATACTGAGATTGCGCGTCGTAATTCGCACAATGTGTGCTTCGAAGTGACCCTTCCAATCACCCATTTGGCCCGTTTGAATGTACTCGCACCTGGCAGCGTGCTAATTGTTGTCAGATATGATGTTCGATGGGACAAATGTAATGTTGGTTAAATATAGCTACACTTCTGAAATTCTCGTCTTCTCCCCATCGAATAAATGTTGTGAGCACTTCGTCATTCTCTTGTGCACAGCAAAGCAACCTAGGATTGTGCACCACCATTGTGCAGTCCTCAACAAACAGTGCACCTGTGCCTTATGCAAAGTGCCGGATTTTGAGATCACTATCAGTAAATGCACTGCACTATAGACAACTGTTACCGACTTAGCTTCTTCCGCATCCTGAACTACTCCCTTAAATGAACGTCGATTGGGTACCAATACGAGAAGCACATGAGCTGAAGTGTAGTGTATTTATAGAAAAAATCATGCTTCCCACGAGAGTGAAACTGAAGTTTATTTTTCTTATTCACTCTGGCGGCAATGCTACCAGAAACACAGTTCAGCAAACATAATGCTTTCCATTGATAATTCATCATGTAGGTAACGGAAAGTAAACATCTGCAAAGCCTAAGCTGTCCCTCTGTGTCTCACAGTCGATAAATATACACGGACAACTGGTTGTGGGTGGAATGGGATACAAACAAAGCAGTCAAACCAGGGTGGATGCGAACCCGGAGTGCAGAAGCGAACATAGTGAAGACGTCATAGAAGAGGTGGAGGTGTCAGTGCAGATAAATATGGAAAAACAGAGCTATACATATGGAGAGGAGTAGAGATTAAACTGCACTCACTCAAAGGAATTCAAACTATTAGGCTTGTGCACGTAGTTCGTGGGCACATAACCCAGTTGCCCTGTGATCATGTTGCGGACATACCACCACTGGGCGTTGCTCCGGTTGACCACATAGTACTTTTCCCCTTTTTGCAAAGGCAGCTGATTCTCCCTCACGGGGTTGTAGTTGTGAACGGCTATCACCGTGTTCTCGCTATCATCCTACAATGGCGCAAAGAAACGTTCAAGCAGAATTTCAGCTGATGGACGAATATGTGATAGGGGGCAATTGTACACTGCATTCGGAAAACCGACTGAGCGTCCGTGTCACGGCAGTATGGAGAAGGGAACGGAGGCATAAAAACTTGTGAAGTTACCAGGTGGCGAAACTTCGTCGCATACTAATGGGGGCACGCACGAGTGTTAAACAAATGAGCTGAATCGTGGCGGTGATCACGTCTCTCAAGGATGTCAAAATCGTAGCACTTTCCTGACGATTGAATAAAGTAAGGGTACACAAGGAGTAACATGGACGTCGTGGTAGCACCTAGGAGTCATCATCGCTTTCTCCTTAAGTTGACAGCAGAAGCGATGTTGACCAACAAAAATGAAATAGGTGGATGGCACACCACAAAGATGACTACGCAGGAATACCAAGGTGATTCCAAAGTGTTACGCCCTGCTTTAAGTACTTTGCACTTTCGAAGCGAAAAGCAACAATCTAGAACTAGATCAGTAAACCACTAGTTCTTCAGGTTACTAAATGGCAACTGGAAGCAAATCTCAGAATCGCGCAGCCTGGTAAGAGTAGAACATAAGCAGTAGGCCAGTTCGTAGTGCCGACGCATTGCTGTCAAGTGACCATCACCAGTCCGGCCCTGACTAGATATTGTGAGATCGCCCGCGTCTAACCAGATTTGAAACAGTGAGCTCCCATGTTACAAGGTAGAGGCCGCATACATTCGGCCATCTACCAAGAACCTAGTAACTGAGACAAGTAAGTTAGCCAAAAGGACAGAGTCGCAACGGAATACGTGTCAGCTAGGTTACGGACATGTTGCGAAAGTAGCATTTGGATCAAGGGCAAAGCGCACAAAGCAACAGTGTGGCAGGCGCTACTCCACCGAGCACACATATGAACAATGAGCAGTTAAGATGCTAAAGTATGCATATAAAATTAAATAATCTGGATCTATAACATCTAATATTTCACATGTTCGTCAATACCACAACGTTCCTAATTAATTAGACCAAAAATATAGTTCCCATTTGATTACAACTATGCACGTCGTAAAATAAGTTCCTGATGCGTGTCCATCGAAGAAATAGTGAATATTGAATACTGAGAATAAGGAGCGAAAAGATTAAAATCTGTGTTGCTCCATCATTAGTGGATCGAGTACATGCGCGGAATCACGTTGCTGATTCCTGCGCGGTGGCAGCATATTGCAGCTGCACAACATTTTATCCAGGTGCGATACTCTCCTTATACCTGTAGTACGCAAAGTGCGCGTCAAGGAATCTCTTAAATTCCGACACCGATTTCGCCTCGACCACCGTCTCCGGCAATTTGTTCCAATATTTCACCACTCGACGCTAGAAGCATAAAGGATGAACGATGTGCTTTAAATCCGGTACCACTAATGTGTACCGGTGTCCGCGTGTGCTGCTTGGTGCGCGAAGGTGCAGCAGCGGTTTCAACATACGAAAGGGACTCAGGTGCAGTATGCGGTGCGGCAAAAGGAGATCAACTCGAAGCCGACGCTATGACAGGGTATAAAGCCCTGGTCTTCTACATCGGTCCTCGTGTGACATACCCCGTAAACTGGGGATGAGCCGGGTAGCTACATTCCGGACCCATTCAAGTCTTTGCACCACACCTATTGTGTTCGGACAATAGGCGCGTGAGCCGTACTCAAGCACCGGTCTTATTATGGAAGAGAACAGACTGGTGGCAATCTCTTCAGACCAAGTGCAGAAGTTGCGTCTAAGTGCCCAAAGCAGGCGTTGTCCGTTTGCGTACACTCTGTTCCTGTTGTCGATAGACTTCAGATCACAGCGTGGTAATACGCCTAGATTCTTTACAGAACTAGTGGGATGCAGCGGGTGACAGGCCAGGGTGTACTCACGCTCATTACCACCGCTCCCCAGGCTCATAAACGAGTACTTGGTCGGGTTAATCGGTAGGTCAACTTCTGCAGATCACCGGGATAGGCGGTCGAGGTCCTGCTGAAGTACGTCACAAATGCCGGGAGAATCAATAATCTTCCAAATATTCAGGTCATCTGCAGGGCGACCGAAGAAGCTGAGGTACTTCGTTAATGTGGATCAGGAACAAAATGGGCCCCAGTACTGTGCCTTGGGGTACGCCGCTAATGGACGAGAACCATTCCGTTAGGTGGTCATTCACCTGAACCTGCCATCTTCTCCCAATAAGGAAGTCACTGATCCACTGGTGCAGTGCGCCACCAACACCACAAATCCTCAGCTTGTGGAGCAGGACCGCATGATTCACGTTATCGAAAGCTTTACTGAAATCAATGTAGAAAACATCCACTGACTTCCCCCTGATTCAACGCTTGCAACCATTCCTGTCGCGTCAACAGCAGGTTGGTGATCGACGAGCGGTTCTTCATGAAGCCATGCTGTGCCAGCGTTAGGAGATCATGCGACTTCAGCAGCTAGAGAAGACCCTTTTCCACAACCTTCTCGAGCACCTTCACCAAAAGAGAGATAAGACAAATCCGCCGGTAATTGTCCACATTGCGTGGATCACCGCCTTTTGCAATCGGCTTCACTACCGAGCATTTCAGTCCCTCGGCAATGCACCCTCGGACAGCGATCTGTTGAATAGATCCGTCACGGCAGGCGAGATGATGATCGATAAGGACTTCAAAATTAGCAGGTGAATTCTATCTGGTCCGGCAGGTTTCGTACCGTCAAGGCTAGCGATTTGACTGCGGACATCTACACGGCCATCAAGGCCCTCGAGTTCAGTAGGGGGTGCACACGTCGAGCTCGACAATTGCGCATGCTTATACGGAAGTGAAGTGCTCCGCCAATGCGGACGTACGTTCAGTGCTGGAGATCTGAGGCTGTACTCCAGTAACTTCAAACACAGCTACGTCACTTTCGGGCCTCAAACGTCGCTTTACGTAAGCAAAAATCTTCTTGGGGGCCGTTTTACTGTGGTTGCAAGCTTCCCTTCGAACTGCCGACGCTTCTGCATAGATTCCGCTGTCTTTTGTACGCCTCATAATCGGCAGACATAGAGACGAGGAATTTATTCCATAATACGCGTCGCCCTCAAACTAATTGGCCATACCCACTGTCGATTTAATGTGGCTATACCGGTCCAGCTTTCCCATACTTGAGGGGTACGAAACGAGCACACAACGATTGCACACCCTTTGATAACAGACCAACAGGCTTCAACAGATGAATCTTGTGGCAGCGAGCAGTCAACTACACTAACAGCCCGATTGAGACCATCGAAATCCGTCTTCCAATAATTGTAGGACGACTGCGGCGGACGCGAGTAGGGCAGCGGCAGCTCTAGGCTGGCTAACACCATCGAGTGGTCACTAGCTGACAGAGGCTCCATGACCTGAATTTCATGTACACGTTGCTCGCAACTCGTTAGTAGGAGATACAGGTACGATGGAGCGGAATGCAGTGTAACGCGCGCCAATTAGCAGACATGTGCTGCCCCAGTTTCCAATACCATCTCCGCAAACTGCACATCGATCTCACAATGCAAAGGAAGTAGTTGAACCTCAAGTCACAATATTCGAGGGTAGTTAAAATCACCCATAAGCAAGATGCTTCTGGCATGCGGCAACCAATCCAGGCATCGACTTTGCAGGGTGCGATAAGCCGCACTTACAAACAGTTCACCCTGTCTCAGGCGGATCGAGCACGATAACTGTTCGCACAGGCCATCTTCACTATGATAGGAGTGTACCAATCTCACTCACAGCAAGGACCGAATGTATAACATCACGCCACCTCGATCCTTTGATAGTCTGTTGCACCGGAAGCACGAGTAGCCACTGATTTGGACTTCCTGGGTAGTGACCTCCGGATTTAACCAGGTTTCGGCTAGTCCTAGTACGTCCGGACGACGTGAGCCAACGAAGTGAAATACATCGTTACGTTTGTACATTAAACTACAGACATTTATAAAGGTTACGCGCACGCCGCGGTAGGAACAGCGGACGCGCATGAAGCGCCATCGATCTGTTGATCCGGGTTGGGCGGACCCGGAAAACTACCGGAAAATTTACGATGTGGAGATTGGTTTCTCCATTCTCAGTCCGCCGCTTCAACTCCACGATAGCGGACTTCAGTTTCTCTCTGTCCGACGGATCCAAATCGGGACGAATATGGAGCTTTAGACCTCTTAGTCTACCGAGGTGGGATAGTATCAGCCTCGGACTCGTTGCATCAACAAAGGTGACTCGCAGAGACCTGGATTTCCCATCCTCTCTTTCCAAGACGGGTAATTTGCCTCACCCGAAACCCCTGTTCATTCATGTCGAGAAGCCTATCAACCAGGCTCTGCAGAAAATGCACGTCATCGTCATAACGAGCCTCAGGACTAGTATCCGCCGTCGCAAACGCGTGAAATATCGTAAGGTTGCAACGCCGCTGATTGCTGGCAGATGTATTCTCCTTTTTGCTTCGCTGCATTCTCCATTGGCCCTCATCGCCTGCGCCATCGCACACCGTTATGTTATTGTCCGCAGGGCGCAATACAGACACAGCTGAGCCTCCAGCAACGGGTGCACTTCGCGTTGGAGAGCATGCAGCCGGTGGGTAGGTGGGCTCGTTCGAGCATAGAGGAGGCTGGGTTTCCGCTTGCTTGGATGAACCCCCAAAGCTCTTCCCTATGGAACGCTCCGCCCATTTTGTAGGTTCTCGCAGCCTCTCGGCTGTTTGTGACTGCGCGGACATACGAGCTGAGGCTCCAGCAACAGGTGTACATCGCGCTGGAGAGCCTGCAGCCAGTGGGCAGGTGGGCTCGTTTGAACCTAGAGATGGCTGGGTTTCCGCTTGCTTGGATGAACCGACGGAGTTCATACCTATGGAACGTTTCGCCTGTCTTGTAGGCTCGCGCGGTTCTCGCTTGCTTGTGACTGCACAGTGGCTTGGCATTTCCCGCACAATATCTGGACAAAGTCATGCTGGATTTCACGCAGTAGTTTAAATTGAGCTGAAAA